ATAGATGCATCAGAATGCAAGTGTATCAATTTTTCCCATTATAGAAAATGCTGCAGTTAATATCCTTATTGATATATCTTTGTACACATATTTCATTATTTCCTTAGGATAAATTCCAAGAAAATGAATAGCTGGGTCAAAAGGTAAACACATTTTTTAAAACTTTTGATAAATATTGCCAAACTGACATTCCCACCACAAGTGTATGAGAACACCTGCTTCCTTGTGTTCTTGCCAACAGTGAGTTCTGTCATTCCTTTTTAATTTTTGTAAATTATACCAGAGAAAATAGTATGCCATTCTAATTCCCCCTTCTTTGACTACCATTAGAGATAGTACATTTTTTCATGTTTACTGACCATTTGTACTTTTTTATGTATTTTCCTTTGCACATTTTTCTCCCGTCCTTTGCACATTTTTCTAGTAAAATACTTATGTTTTTCTTATTGTTCTATAAGTTTTTATGTGTTAAAGATAATGAGTCTTATTGTAATTGTTTCTAGTTTTCTCATTAACTTTATGGTTTGTGCAGAAATTTTTAATTTTCATATAATTGATTAATCTTTTTCGTTATTATTCTACCTTTGATTATGCATACAAATATCTTCCCTACCCCCAAGATTATATAAATAGTCTCCCATACTTTTTGAGTTCTTTCATCATGGCCTTTTTTAAAACTTTTAATTTTTTAATGCAGCAGCTACACATCAGAACTGCTTACAGTGCTTCTTTAAATGCTCAGGTCTTGAGACTGAATCACAATTCGGAGAGTTGGGACCTGAGCAGGAATATTTTTAAAAGCACCACAGGCAATTCTGACACCCCTTCTTTATTAAAAAACACCATTTTAATCCTTCTAAATTTATGTTGATGTCATTTTTCCACATTACTTCAGCACACATGTTAAATAAATCATTTCATTAATTTGAAATGCCACCTTTATCCTAGTTGGTAAGCTCCGTAAAAGCAGAGACCATACCTGTTTTCACTGACCACTGCATTTCCAGGGCCCAGAAGAGTGCCTGGTACACAACCAGTGTTCAATAAATGTTAATTGAATTAATAAATAACACCTGACAACACAAGTCTCCAACCTCAAAACGGCTAGTCTTCAATATTTTCACTATTAGACCAATAAAACTGATGTTATTAATGATGACCCTGAGTTATCAAAAATATTAAATTATGCTCAGTACACGCCATTTAAAACGGCCAGAAAACGTATTAGAGGGTTCCATTAAGTGAAGTCAAAATAATAACATTGGCCAGTTTTAAGGGGTATGGGAATTCTGACCAAATTCTCCGTGGGAGAACTAGACAGTAATGACCCAAGAAACTAAGGAGATTTGGGTTCCTCTAGCTCCTAGGGTTCCTCAACTAGCTCCTGAGATTGACTCAGAAGCTTCCTTGAACTGCAGACAGACCCGCACATTCCCTCTTCCATGAGCCAATGGAAAGAACATTGGAATAGGGGAAACAGGTGACCTGGATTTTAGACCTAGCACTAGGATCACCTACTAACTGTTTGACCGTGGGCATGTCACTTAATGTCTAGAGGTTGGGCTGTTTTCCAAGGATCTCTTCAGGTCTAAACCTTTACTTGAGGACCGCTACAGGGCAGGGCTTCCAAGGACAACCTGAAATTACCTCCACAGAACAGGGTCCGAATCCCATCCCAGACTATAAGAAAATAATAGTGATAGCAGTAGCAGTAATAATAGCTATTGTTAAATTTTACTGAGTATTTATATGCTAAATGATATTCTAAACATCTTACTATAATAAAGGCACACATTGATACAGCACTTACTATGTGCCAAGTGCTCTGCATATATTAACTTAATACATCTTCATAACAACCCTATAAAGTGAGTTCTATTATTTTTTCCTTTTTAAAATGATATACAATAGTTGCACATATTTTGTAGTACATGTAATATTTTGATACATGTATACAATGTGTAATGATCAAATCAGGGTAATTGGGATATCTATCACCTCAAACATTTATCTTTTCTTTGTGTTAGGAACATTCCAATTCTTCTCTTCTAGCTATTTTTAAATACACAATAAATTATTAACTATAGTCTCCCTACTGTGCTATCAAGTACTAGAATTTATTCCTTCTATCTAACTGTATTTTATACCCATCAACCAGCTTCTCTTCACCTCCCCTTCCCCACTTCTATTAACCACGATTCTACTTTCTATCTCCATAAAATCCACTTTTTTAGCTCCCACATATCAGTGAGAACATGTGGTATTTGTTTTTCTGTGCCTGGCTTATTTCACTTAACATAATGACCTCTAGTTCCATCCAGTTCTATCCATGATGTTATTCTTTTTTTGGCTAGATAGCATTCCATTGTGTATGTATACCACATTTTCTTTATCCATTCATCTGTTGATGGACACTTAGGTTGATACCACATATTGCCTATTGTGAATAGTGCTGCAATAAACTTAGGAGCACAGGTATCTCTTCCATATACTGACTTCTTTCCTTTTGGATAGATACCTAGCAGCAGGACGAGTTCTATTATTATTCCCATTTAACAAAAGAGAAAATTGATACACAGAGGAGTTAAGTGACTTGCCCAAGGCCTCTTAGCTGCCAAGTGACAGAACCAATGGAGTAGAACTCAGACCCACATGTTTAACTATTATGCCATACTGTTTCTAAACTATCAGTGTACTATGCTTATAAATTCAGAGGTTCCCCCCAAACAAGGGTAAGCTGCAGTTTTCCAAAGAGCTTACTTATGTGGAATATTTCCCTCTTCACTAATGCTAGAAAAATAAGGTTTAACGCCAATGTAATTTTAAGCAGATCAGATTTCAGGGCCTGAGCTTGCAAAATTTATTATTTACTAAGAAAATATGACATTTTAAGAATTGTTAAACATTAAATGTTTTTATTATAAAATAAATAAATCATTAACTACTAATGACATTAGCTACAGAGAAAAAACACCAGGTCTTTCATGCATCATTAGGAACTATAGATCCCCACCTGCACTAACTCCAGTTCCAAACTTTCAAAACTGTCTTTGAAACATTGACCTGACAACCTGCAGGTGTCCCAACCCCAGCAAGTCATCCAAACTCAGTACACTAACTTCCACCAGCCCCACACCCATCAGCCGCCTCTCCACCTTCCCCATTTCAGAGAATGGCAACACTGGCCCCCAGGCATCCAAGCTGGCTGTCAGTCCCACATCCAATCACAGAACATTTCTAGAATTCATCCCGTTCTCTCTAACCTCGCTGTCCCCGCTTCTTCTGCTCAGATCCTCACCATCTCTCCCCTAAACCAATATTCCAGAAACTTCCCGACTGACTCCCGGCTTTCATCGTCTCCAGCTCAGCACTGCTGCCAAAGTAATCTCTCTAAAACAAAATCTGATTATGTTACTTCCCTGTGTAGAATCTTTGTCTTCAGGATAAAGTGTAGAATCCTTCCTAGAACATACAAGGTTCTTTATTATCTGGCCTCTGACTACCTTCCCTGCTTTGTCTGAGGTCGTGCCCCCACACATCTCACATGAGGCAAACAGAGCAACTTGGAACTTCCCAAACAGTGCTGCTCTGTCTGCCCAGAATGCAATTCTCTCATTTGCCCATCTGGCAAACTCCTACTCATTTTTTTAGACCAGCTCAAAACTCAGAGTTCATCATGCTTTTCTTTGGGCTTCCACAGCATTTTGCACCTCTCCCTATTGTAACACTTATTCAATGTGACACAATGATTTATTTACATGTTTGTCCTTCCCAGACAACAAGGAACCTTCTAGGACTGCGGTCCCCAACCCCTGGGCTGTGGATTGGTACCGGTCCGTGGCCTGTTAGGGACCAGGCTACAGAGCTCTGCCGCAGCCCCCTACCCCCGTCTGTAGAAAAATTATCTTCCATGAAACTGGTCCCTGGTGCCAAAAAGGTTGGGGACCACTGCTCTAGGGTTCTGCATCTTATTTATCTCTGTATTCCATTTATCAAATGAAAGAATGTCTCAGGATTTAAGCAAGAATATCCAAACTGCTTTTGATAAATGCCCATTGTGTGAGTCAAAGCAGGCATATAGGCCAAATTCCATTTCAACAAATGTCTTTAAATCGAAAATCTTTGTACATCAAAACTACTTGTCACATTTGTGTGCCCACATATTTTAAGCAACACAATGCAACATTTTTAAAAGATACATTAGACCACCAAGTAACCTACCTGTTGAATATTTCTAGATATTCAAGTTATTTCATTCTCCTCCATCTAAGCGGTCCTTAAACTTTTGTGGGTCACAGATGAATTTTAGTAGTGTTTGTCTATCATTTCCTAAAACCACACTCCCTTTTGAAAAATATAAAAATTCCACACACCAGAGATTCTGAAACTCTCCAGAAGGGCAGTCCTCAACCTCACCAAAAATAAGAATAACTTTGTATGTGGTAGGAATTCATAGGTTCACAAAAGATGTAATCCATCAGCCAAGATACTGTTGAGCTTTGCTTCCAGGTAGTCTGTATTATTAAAATAGGCATTTTCCTTCTATCGCCAAATATAAACATTATAACATTTAATATGCTTTTACAAACTGCATACGTCCCAAAAAATTTTTACTGGAAAGAGGAAGGCAGAAAGGCACTGACATCTGTCTCTCCCACGTTTGAGACTCTTACGAGAGAAATTTGCAGGAAACAAATGAAAAGCACAAAAGAAAAAATATCCTCTGTTTCCTCACATATAACCTCCATGAGCACACGTTTAAATGAAGGAGTTCTTTTCAATGCTTCTGGCATGGCACTTTCGTACTTCCCCCAACCTCATTTTAAAATAATTCAAACTTCTAGCTAGCAGCAACTTCTGTTAAACTAAAGTGCTTTGTCCTTGCAAAGACGAAGGGTTAAATTAAAGAAACAGCTGGCTGCCTGCCACTGGCTTTGGAGTGGGGGGGAGAATAGAGTAGGAAGAAAAACCAGTTATAAGAATAAGAGCTAATTTCTTACCCTGCCACATGGCCATCTTGATCCTATCTTCTCCCAGGCTGGGGTCACACAGGCTCAGTTTCCCAGAGCCCCTCAGTTTTGTAGGGAGAGTTGATAGCAAGGCAGTTGTGTGGTCCTTTCTGCAAGATGCTAAAGCTCCAAACCTGAAAATGCAAATAGAAAAATGAATGCCTAAAAGAAAAAAAAAAAAAACTTCAAATGTTCGAAAATTATCTGCTGTCCCTCTCTAAACCTCTCTTTCAAGGATAGGCAGACATGAGTAGTGTCAAGTTTCCCCCTCAGCAGCAATATATTGCTGAAGAAAGAAAGAATTGGGAGTAATCAGGAGATCTGGAGTCAGTTAATGTTGCCACTCAGTGCTGTACAATTCTGCAGGAATCAGTGGAGCTTCAGTAAATGGGGTTCCAAATCTCAATGGATACATGGTTGGATGAGATCACTGTTAAGTGTCTTTCCTATCTTGAAGTTCCATACTTTAGGGACTGAAGAGCAGCATTAATATCCAATGCCCTATCCAACCACCAAGATACCCAACTACACATTAAAAAATCAGTAGAGACCAAATTTTGTGAATACTTAAAGTTTTTAAATAGATCTTGAGTAGGATAAAAAAAGAAAGGAGGTATAATAAAAAGTAAAGAGTGATGATGCCCATTGGGTGGTGGTTCTTCCTCCCTGCTTCATTGTACTTTCCCACACTTTGCAAATTTCCTATAGTGAGCACATATTGCTTTTATAATCAGGGGAAAAATGAACCAAAGAAAACGAAAAAGGTAAAAATAGAACACCAGTTTTAAGAAAACCAAATTAATTCAGCCAATGTCTATAGTTAAAACTTCAAATCCAGTCTTAGGACAATACTATTTACAAGGCTATGAAAGGAGCTAGAAATGGGAGAAAAAAATGAGAGGTCTGACTACTTAATTTGATTCAGAAGCTTAATATATTAAACACTCTGCCTGTCCATTTAAACAAGTTTTCAGTTAATAAACTGATCTTCCTTACTTATCATAAAAGCCAATCTCTCTTTCGAAGAGCCTTCACCTTTTTGACTGGTGAACATCAAAGTAGACTGCTATTTCCATGGCTTTTATACAACCAACACCTCCACTCCCGAAGTGAAAGCGCTATAAAGCAAAAACACTGACGGCTAATACTAACGTGAGAATCATGTTGCCTTTCTTTAATGACAAAAGGATTAATGTGTACAGCAGTCCCAAAACACCAGTAGAGAAAAGACAGTGCTTTGGATAAGAAAAGGTTCACGAAGTCCAAGAAAACTAGGAACTCACAAACTCCCAGGATGAATTCACCAGGAAAAGGCGCACCAATGACTTATCTGGAACCAGGGACAGTTTGTTTTGGTTTGCCTTTTTTCTTCTCCTATTTCGCGTGCAGTTAAGAAGTACTCATTTGCGCCTCGTGGAACAAGGTGAAATTTAACATTTCTTAAGTTAAACCTGAGTAGTTGCTAATAAACGTATGAAGTTTCTGTAAAGCGGATTCATACTGGCTTTTTATGCGCCAAACTTCTGGATTTCCCTCACTTACTCGGGGCAGCTTCCACTGACGTTATCACACGGGCACACGCACAACTTCACTTGGAACTCCCGGCAACTGATTTGTTCTGAAATGTTAATAAAGGTAAACGCGCGTCAATGTAAAGGTAAAGCTTTCCCCTTATGGGTAAAGGCGCTCAAGAGCAAGGCTCAAAAGTCTGAAGAGAACCAGCTCCGCGCGTTAAGTGGCAAAAGGAAAACGCGCAACAACTACTTTTCCAAGAGTTTGGACCCAGCCTCGCTAAGACCCATACAAACCTGAAGCAAGCCCAGAGCCTGGAACGCGGTCTCGACTGAGCTTTATCAGCTCAAGCTTTATCACCCTACCCCAGAACTGGAAAGGGGATGCAGGCAGCTAACCTCCCCGATTCAAAAGCTGGGCGGGCTTGGCGCCGCTCTGCAAGGAAACTTCGCTCGGGCAGCCCAGCGACCCTTCTCCGAGAACAGGGCTGGGCTCCCGGGAGATGCCGCCCCGCTCTGACTAGAACTAGCCTGTCTACCTCCTCCGAGTGCCGGGTGGTGGCGTCCGGGCACGGGGAACCCCCATCTCCAGGGGGCCGAGCCAGCAGGGGACTGCTTCCCCCGTGTCGCTGCGCTCCGGGGGTGTTCCAGCAGTGGGCCGGGGGCCAGCGGCCCGCGAAGGACTATAGGGGAAGGGACAGCCCATTTGTCTTTACCTGTCGCTAAGGTCAGGAGCCGCTGTGCCCGTGTCCGCCGCCGGTGGGCAACGCGCTCGGTCTGCTCTGGCGTCCAGGACACCAAGTTGAACTAGCGCCCCACGTAGCCGGCAGAGCTTCATTCACACAGCCCAACTGGGGAGGAGGGGGAGCGGAGCGGGCGCGCGGCTCATGTGACAGGCGCCTCCCGAGTATCGGCTCAGCCCAGCCCGCCTCTGCGCGTGCGCGCTACCACGGGCCCTCACCTGGCACCCTGGCCCAGCCCGGGAGGAGGGGACGCCAGCCGAGGAGGGGCTGTTGGGCGGAGCTTCAACGTGCGCAACCGCAGTAGGTCCGCCCTGCTCTCTGCCCTATTTAATGACTGGGCGGGTTCTAACCCAGTGCTGGGCGTGTCCTAACCTAGTGCTGGGCAAGTCAGTTGCCTTTGAAAAAGCAACTGTGTACACAGTACCTTTTTTTGTTTTCTTTTGTCCTTAGAATGAAACTGTTTATCCTTAGCTTCTGTCCCACAGAGTAGTTAGTATAATAGTAGAAACCTAATACTAGATCACATATTTTGAGCTGCTTCTTATATGCCAGGCACTGTTCTAAGCCCCTTACTTTTTTCATCTCATTTAATGCTTGCAATAACCGCATGGGATATGCACCATTATTATTCCATTTTTGCTCATAAGAATACAGAAGCACACAGAAAGGTTAAATAACTTGTCCAAGCTCACATGACAGTAAGTAAGAATAGAAATAGTGATGCTTTTACCAGCCAGCTTGAACCTCACAGCAACACCGGAAAATCTATACTGCAGTTATCAGTATTGTATTATCTCCTTTTTAATCATCACAAAACGGAGGCTCAGAAAAGCAAATCACAGGAATAGGAATCCAACCTAGGTATATCTGACTCCAAAGCCCTTGCCATCGGGTAGGAAGAAATGACCTCTTGTTTTACAGAAGAGAAAACCTAGGCCAAATGGGATGCGTCGACTCTACTTAAATGATCCAGCTATTTAGTTATTTGCAGAATTAAGACTAGAATCCATAAAATAAATTCAGGTAAATTAACTAGAACCCAGGTACTCTAATTCAGAGTCCACTGTAGTGAACAATTTTGAATGCTTACTCTGGGCAAGCTTAGTGGTTGCAGATACAAAACCTGTCTCCTAGCCCAACCAGTGTAAGGCCACCAGGGACAGATCTGTAATCCGACATAGGCTTTGGACCCATTGTAATAAGGGAGACTGCACACCAGAAAAACTGTGGGCATCTCACCAAATGAAGAAATAGAGTTATTATAGGATTTGGGGAAAGGGTGGAGTTTAGGTGAATTTTAAACAAAGCAGTGTTTTGGTAAGCTCAAAGCAAAGCAGGGACTATGTCACTTGGGGTCACCATCAGGACTGGACTGCAAAGTGAACCCAGAGCTCTATTTCATTGGGAACCACAAAATAAAGATAGATGTTGAATGTTGTGTCCAGATACCTCTTATCTGAAGCTCTGCACCTGGGTTAGGAACTGAGGCTGCTTCTCTGTGTCAAAGAAACTTATGTCCTCCAGACAAATGTGGGATGTTTTATTCTTACTGATATGATTTCAAGCAGAAATGTTTCTGATAATCTATGATCTTAGAGAACAAAGTTTCTCAGTGAATAAAAAAGTGGTGATCACTCAGATAAGGGTGTTGCTACCACTTTACAGCTGCAACATGTCTTCAGGAGAAATAATGTTCTCTGTTAAATTTGCAGCTGGCTTTATCTGTGTGTTATTCCAGCCTGATGAATGGCCATATTTTTTCTTTCTCACTCCAAAATAATTTGTATTTTCTCACCTGGTTAACATTCAGCCTCTTCCTTCAGTCACTTACAGTGTGTGGGCTAGCCACAAGTAAACAGAAAGAATCAGGGCAGTCCTTTAATACAGGTAAATCCAACTGGAGGTAACACCTTTGGCAAAAGTGTGCAGGCGGGAAGTTATATGTGAGAGCCTGTGAGTAGTCCTATGTGGTTGAAGCTTAGAGTATGGAAGTATAGGGGAGTTGTGGGAGCCCAATTTTGGAGGATCCTGAATATTGGACTAAGATTTGTACTTAATTAAGAAAGTGATTGAGAAGGAGTTGACTTTATTGAGCAAAGCAATCCGTCTTTTGGAACTCTTCTTTAAGAAGGTGAATCTGGGGTGATTGTTCAAGGAGAAGTTGGTTTGTTTGCTTTGTTTTTTTCTCCTGTCATTGCAGGATAAAAGAAACCAAGCTTATTTGTAGGTTAAGCAGGAAAAGCCACTGGTGAAATAGAAATCGAAGAGGCAAGAAAAGGAGAGGATAATTAATGGAGTAAAATACTTGGACAAATAGAAATGAGATCTAAATACAAGCTAACCTTGGAAAAGACGCCTTTTCCTCTGATACCAAAAGGGGCGTGGGGTTAAAGGACAGCAATCTGGTTGGAAGCAGACCTGTCACGAAGCTGCCTCTGCAAAGCAAGCATGTTGGCTTTACTTGGAATACTGTAGGTTTATTTGGGAGAGCTGGGGGTCGTGGGTGGGGGGCCGAGGGGAGGGGAAATTATGAGAGTAATCTGCAGTACACCCAGATTACCGCTTGGTGTCGCCACTGACCGCTGACAGCTTGAAGGGCTCCAGTTGGGGACTACATTTCAAAAAAAGAACGTTTTATCTTTTGCGAATTGCAAAACAAAACATTTATGAAAGTGGGCTCTGGAGCCAGACTGCCTTGGCTCAAAACAAACCATACACAGACACTCATTAGCTGTGTCACCTCGTTCAAGTTATCGAAGTTCACTCTGTTTCGGGTTTCTTATCTGTAAAATGTGGTAATAGGAATAAATGTACTACTAGATGTAGAACAGTTAGAACAGTTGAAGTGCTCAATAAATTCTAGCTAGTATTACTATTGATGATGATGATGATGAATAAGGCTCCTTCAGTCTTTGGATACCCAAGCTTTGCAGGAGCTATTTGTGTGGTGAGTGTAAATGTCTATACAATACCTTTCCAAGCAAAGTGGTTAGAGGCAAAGTTAACAGTTCAGTCAAGAGGTATAGATTCTGACTCCGCACCAGAGACCCTTAGCCAGGTGTCCCAGATCTATGGGCACATGGTCGCAAGCGGATTTGGCCAAGACAGTGAACGTAGGTCAACATAAAGGAGTCCTCTGCTGTCCTCCCCCTCCCGTGGAAAAAATTGAAAGAAAATTCCCACCCCACCCCCATGATGGTCAACAGACTGTTAACCATTAAGAGCCATTTGGTCTTACAAAGCAAGCAGTAAATATAATGTGATATTAAAAATTAATTATAAAGAAGGAATAAAACAGTGAATTTCTCTGTATAATAAAAGGTAACACTTTAGAGTTAATTTTGCAAAAGAAAAACCTCCAGAGCAAGATATCACAGTGACACCTAAAGTATCATGTCCAAAGCAGCTTTAGCTTTCATTTTAAAATTGGCACTGCAAATAAAGACTGAAAGAGTTACATGAGTACGTAGCCATGTAGAGTAGTAAGTGAATGTTTCTGATATTGTTCTTATTTATTTGTTCCACATTTTGTTGAGTCCTTACTATTGTGCCAGGCACTGTGCTAGCCCCTAAGGATACTAGTTTTAAAGTGAAATATCTGGGGTGCCCAAGAAACGACCGGGATAGTTCTAGAAAAAGGGGGCAGAATAAAAGAAAATGAACAAAGTCCTCTAAGCTCAGGGGATCTATCAAGACAGTAAGTTAGGAAATTCTGATAATAGAGTGATCTGAAATCATTTGTAATTGCCCCATGACTGGAGAGCTGAGTATCAAAAATAACAAATGGCTTCTACACCAATAATGGATAGCTAACCTCATAACTGGAGAAATACTAATGAAAACTGCAGTGAGATACCATTGGCAAAAATATTGACAATACACTGTGTTGACAAATCGGGGGTGAGGGAGGTAAGTCCTCTCATACATTGCTGGTGGGAGTGCAATTAGTCAATTGAGGGCAATTTTAGAATAGCTATAATAATTATAATATATGAGACTTTGATTCCAAAATTCCATTTCTAGGAATTTCTCCTCCAGTTATGTTTGCACACATGTAAAATGTTATGTGTACAAGGTTTTTCACTGTAGCTTGTCTGTAATAACAAAAACTGGGAAACAACCAGATTTCCCTCAATGGGGGACTGATCAAATAAAATAATGGTGCATCTATCCAATGGGGAAAAATGAGAAAGCTTTTCATGTACTTATATGTAAAATTCTCTGTTATACATTATGTAGGAAAAGCAAGATGTAGAGCTATGTACTTTCTTAATTTTGTGCTATGGAAGTGTATTACGTATTCCATTATATATTTTTAAAAGTAATATAGAAAAAGAATTTTGAATAGCCTGTCAAGGATAGTGTTTAGATTGAAGAGCCAGTTGGTAAGCTTACTCCTTAAGTGCCAGTCAAAGAAAGATCCTGTCAATCTGTGAGAATATACTAGAAAATTTATGATAAGCAAAACCCCACTCTTTATAGTTCTCTAATTGGGTCCAGCATAATTTTTGACAAGTAGTTTTCATGAGAAATTTTACTTTTTAAAAATCCCACCTCAGGGCCAGGCGCGGTGGCTCACACCTGTAATCCTAGCACTCTAGGAGGCTGAGGCAGGAGGATTTCTTGAGGTTAGGAGTTCGAGACCAGCCTGAGCAAGACTGAGGCCCTGACTCTACTAAAAATAGAAAAATTAGCCGGGCGTGGTGGTGCACACCCGTAGTCCCAGCTACTCGGGAGGCTGAGGCAGGAGGATCGCTTGAGCCCAGGAGTTTGAGGCTGCTGTGAGCTAGGCTGATGCCACGGCATTTTAGCCCAGGTGACGGAGCAAGACTCTGTCTCAAAAAAAAAAAAAGAAAGAAAGAAAGAAAGAAAAGAAAATCCCACGTCAGGTTGCCCTCTATGTGAGAGAAGTCCAAGTCTAGCTAGAATTGCTAGTATTCTTAAGGGGGCAGATATGAGAGTTTGTTTAGGGAATGGTTTTGAGGACTTGCAGATCTTTAATATGTAAATCCAACCAGCTCTGTACAGACTTCAGTTACATGAAGACATGAAAGCGCAACAGAATAGTGGTAGTGGTTTCTCTGAACCATTGTGATACCTG